TGCAAACAATCATTTAAAGAAGTGTTACTTTTTAAATCCTTTGCTGAAGCGTCGTAAACTACCCTAACCTTTGTAGTCTGCGCGTTCTGTCTCACTACTGCCTGATGTGGTAAATAGTGAACTTTCTCAGCTGTATCTAATTCTGGCACTCGCTCAATCACACCTGCATCTAATTGCTGTTTAATTATGTTATCATACTCTACCAAAATATCTGGTTGCTTTCTTAACCTCTTGACTTGGCTTTTCATTCTAGATAAGCTGAGTTCATAGTTAGTTGGTAATGTTGCATGGCCTACTTTCCATGGTAGTTTAACAGAATATCTCACACCATCAAATCTTATGCTATCCCCAAACGCCTCGTAAACCTCGTCCGTCTCCTTAATACCCAAACTATCCAAATCCCACAATCTATGCACCGCATCATCCAAAGTAACGTTCCCAACGTGTGCTATACCACCCATGCTTTCCCCAGCAACAAAACTCACCAATGTCCCATCATTGTCATCCCCACGTTTCCCCTTCAACGGTCCAGACAACACAAACCCTAATTCGGTCTCTAACGCTACGGGTTCATCGGGCTCCCCCCTTACTATACGACCGCGCTGGAAATTCCACAAATTATCCGAACCTATAAGCAAATCTATCTCTAACTCATGCGCGCTTTTGTTAACGTCTGAAAACCAAAGGTCCTTCAGATGAGGAAAATTGTGCTTGACAACCTCAATGTGCTCATTCCTTACGCGTGAAATTACCGGCACCACGTAAGCCTCGAGAGTGAGCACCTTGCCACTACCTAGAGGGTTTACGTCAACGCGAACAACTTCCCTAACTTCCGTCTCCTTGGCTTTCTGTCCGAACGTGCTTAAGCCTAACAATTCCTTGCGCAGAACCTTTAACCCCGCTAGATTCGCAGTTTTAGCGGTAACATATGACTTATGGCTGCCTGAATCGAAGAGCACCCTTACGCGGCGCTGCCTTTCGCCCTTAACTAACGCTTGTGCCGTTTGCAACGCAATCCTACAACTAGTACCTACAAATGTCATATTACTTGGGTTTACTACATCCTTGGGGCCCTCATGCTGGTTTTTACCCTCCTTATCGTCGTCCCTTTCAGTGTTTTTCTTCTCACACAAAGCTGTGTGATGTTGTCCCTTACAACTATTGCAAACTACTTTATTCATGCAATTTCTGGCCAAGTGACCCTTATCTAAACAATTAAAGCATCTAGAATATTTTCGTAAAATACTCTTACGTTCTCTGGTGTCCTTCACCTTCTGGCAAGCTTCATGGTTGTGACTTCCTCGGCAAAATGCACAAACTCCCTTTCCCCAGCCAGCAAACAGAGCAGAGTTCGTATATACATTTCTGTCTCGTTTTCCATACCCAGACTGGCGTCCATCGTTAGGGACAAGGACTACAGCTTCTTCTCGTAACTCCAATTCAACGCGAAATTGGTCCAACAAGTCTGTCATTGTCCAGTTTTTAAAATCCGCACCCCTGGTGATGGTCAATCGTACGCTTTCTGGCAACTTTTCGAGAAGAGAAGGCACAACAATACTCGAATACGTAGCTTCGCCCACTTTCAACGCAACTAATCCTCTATAATGGCATTCTATTTTGTCATATAACGCTCTCAACCTCCCCGTCTCTCGCTCCTTGTACACTCCCTGTAGATTTAATAGCTCGTTAATATGAGCTCTTTGTATTGTGACAGGTTTCCCAAATCTCCGTTTTAAAAGCTCCACAGCAGATCCATAATTCGCGGCAGTCAAAGAAAATCCACTGATTGCTGACTTCGCTGGCTCTTCAACAAGTCCTTTCAAATAAGAGAATTTATCGACGTCTGACAACCCGACATTCGTGTGAATTGAACTCTCAAATGCATCCCAGAACTCTTGCCACTCGAAAACGCTTCCCTTAAACTTTTTTACCTCGAGTTTAGGCAGTTTCACACGTACACTCCCACTCGTTTGTTGTACAGGCTGCGTTGGTGATGTCGATATCGTCGTCTCTTCGAAGTTCTCAACTGACGAGGATTCCGTCGCAATATTTCCACCGTTGGCAACGTTTGTACTGGCCACGTCACTGACCGTTCCTGCTATATTAACTACGCTAGTAACGCTACCCGATGACACTTCATTTAGCTTCATTTCTGCAAGATGAACTACCTTTCGATACTTTAACTGGCAGTCGCTCGCGTCAGACAGTTCCTGCCCGAACTCCCCTTCGTCAATTTCCTTCGAATCCTCCATTAATTTTAACACAGAATCATCGAGAGCCTTGAGAACGTCCACTTTCGCGATTAAGGCGTCCTTCAACTGCTCTAACTCGTAACGATTCTCGTTCGCATCATTCTCCAATATTCCTTGGATCTCTCCAATCAGCTTTTTTGCGTGTCCTCGATGTCCTCCACGTATCTTTTTCTGCTTCGCTAAATCCGTCATATTTACCTGGTTGTACTCTTCTAGTTCACTATCCGGCTCGAAGGACCACTATGTTGTGGAAACCCCGCTAGTATATAGGTCTTCCACGCTCGCTTAACTTGGGACTGTATTCTATTCTTCATTCAATCGTGACAACCAGTAAATTTCACACAACTTTATTTCAGATACGTACTACGACAATGACTATAACAACTACCTACAATCTACATACACGGTTATATATATAATACATTTTAAAGGAAGAAATATCTAACTGATGACGTTAAAGGAAGAACATACCAAGCGTTCATACGCCTACGGCAAGAACATTCTTTTCTCATTTTAACCTAATTTGGACCTACAGGAACTTAATTTGCATTTATTGCGTTCGTAAGAAGAACATGTCAACATTTAATGCGTAAGCTTGTTACAAATTTGCCCTTGACTGATAATGATATATAACTTCTACAGTATATTGTTGCAATATATATCTATACTTATGAACTTAACAAATTGCGCAACATATGCTGAGTATGAATTAACTTGTTGTCACTCGTAAAAACCTGCCATTTCTTTGTATTTTACGATGAAAGATCAACATTTTCTATTAACATTATTGCACTAGTTCCAGTCTCTTATCACGCGGTTATATGCAGGAAATCGTCAAGAATTAGCCTTTCTCACGATGACGAATATCCGCCATTTTTGGGTGGCATCTAATTCTCATTAACCAATGCAGACAATTAAAACAGTGTGAAAAGCAATTTTTCAGAATAAGCTAACCATTTACAAAGCAAATTTAACATCATTCGTCAAAAAATTAGAAAAAGTCGCTGTTATGTGGACTTATCTCACAGAGCGGTGGCGTGAGATATATTGCATCAGCTTTTGGGTTTATTGTTGAATTATATATGAAATTGCAAAGAGTAGATTGATAAAGATTCTTATATCGACATTTTGGGAATCTCGTTCGATACAACTAATAGTGAATGGTTTTTTAGATTGAATTTTCGAACCTAAATTTCTATACACTTTTTTAAACCTAACAACCAGGAGCAGTTGTAAAAAATGGAACTTTATGCCCTCTGGCAGGTTCGATTATATATATACATGAATCTGTGGTTAAGGCTTAGCAATTGGTCTCTGTAGCACAGCTCGTTGGAGCATTATACCGGAATCGAAGCCAAAGGGCCTGTTACTTCCATTTTTCGCAGCTGCTCCCGGTTAGATCTAAAAAAAGTGTATAGAAAGATTTAGCGCGAACAAATTTAAACGTATGATAGCACATAATGCTCATAGCACTTAATGCTCATAGCACTTAATGCCCCACATGGAAAAAGTTCAGATTTCATGCATGAGCTAGTTTTTGAAAGAACTGCTGCCAATGGTCAATTTGTGTTAAATAAAATACATCTGGGTCCTGAAGATCTATCGAATATCGTGCGCTCCTTGTTCGTTGTTGATAAAAAATTGAGCAACACAAGTTTAGAATCTGTAAAATTCTTGATTAAAGAATCTTTGCAATTTCATATTGAGATGAACCGCGTGATACCCCCACCCCTCTCCCCCCGCCTTCGAACTGGTACAATAACTGTGTATAACATGAAGTTTCAAAAAAAAAATATTGCTAATTTTAATAGAAAATGATGATGTTTGGTCGTAAAATACAAAGAAACTGCAGGTTTGCATGAATAAATTCGTGCCAGGCATATCAGAATCTATAAATTTATGTAATTTTAAAGTAGTGCCCGAAGGGAGGCGACAAACTTCGTTTTCTAAGCAACTTTTTTGGTCACAGAACACAGCTATACGCAGGGCCGCCGAGAGGGGGGGGGGGCAAATTGCCCCGTGCCCCGAGGCTCTGGGGGCCCCTAGAAATTTAATGTTAGAAATTTAATGGGCCCCAGTAATTTTTTCGGGCGAAATATTTCTGTTTTCGGGCCAAAATATTTGTGTTTAGGGGGCAATGAACCGAAATTTGGTATGGAAAATTGCGGAAAAGTCCAACGAAAGCAATTATAACGCACCTAAAAAGAAATTATTGTCCGAAAATTTTTTTTCGGGAAAATGTTTTTGCAATAGGGGCCCCTAAAAATTTTTTTGCCCCGGGCCCCCGCCAAGTTCTCGGCGGCCCTGGCTATACGATGAGCTGTATTGCTTTCATATATAACAAACTAGGTTTTTTCCAAAGCTATTTTTAAGAATATGTTTAATCAACTTTATATTATACAAATAATGAATGTTTATGAGTGCAATGGTAAGAATATTTTCATGAGGTGAAAGATGGAATGTTCCATTCAACGAGGCGAGAGCCGAGTTGAATGGAACATTCCATCTTTCACCGAATGAAAATATTCTTACCATTGCACGAAAAAACATTCATCATTTGTTTTGTATAATACCAAAATAGACTAATAGATTCGTATGAGAAGCATTTTGAGGGATGCGATTTATCGAAAACACAAAGAGTGCAATTGTACTATACGTTTTATTCCATTGCACTCGCAGAGAGTGCAATGGAACGTATTCCATTGCACTCTGGGGAAATGGAATTTTCTATTCAATATCACGTGACCATAAACAGCCAATTAAACGATCAGAATTCAATAAGGTATTATATAATAAAGAATAATTTTTTTTCACCATGCACACCTGCAGATTTACAAGAATATTTGTAATCAATACCTGAAAGAGGTTTCTGAATGATCTCCAATGTAAATTCCGACACTTTAGCTTCTTCTGGATAAAATGGCTTCTCATTAAGGGACTCCAAAGTGATAACATTCTCTTCGCCTGACTTCAATTTTCTAAAATACTCTTGGACATCTTCGTTCCAGCAGATGGACGAGTCAAAGCCCTTGGTGTTCTCAAAGAATTGAGGAACACATACATCCGCCGTTAATCCATTTTTTACACAAAATTCAAATATCTCATCGTCAAAGAAACGATCCACGAGGGACGAAAAGAATAACTGGGGCATTGATTCCTTTGGGACGAGCTGTAGTAGTTTGATGTCACAGTTCAAGTGCAAGATGACCCTACGACTAAAAATCCAGTATGTGCGGCTATCAAACAACTTGGCAGTAATTTTTGCATACTTCAAGTCAAGAGCCACCTCAAGATGTTCGGCTTTTTCCTGTCTGGTCATTTTATTCAAGACATCAGTTTCATCGAGAACTTTCATTGCCATATACTCGGAACAAATGCAACGATCCCAAACGTCACCACTATCGTGAAACGCGGCATGAAGAAGGTCGATTGCTTTAATACCTAATTCAGATATCAGAACATTCACGTTTGAACTCCCGCTCTCACTGGAATGAAAGAGGTAACGCAAAGAAAAGAATTTGAGGTCTAGAAGAGCAGTAGGATATGGCCGTTTCGGACGAAAACATACATTTTCAAAAAAATCGCCGGGTGAAGGATATTGAAGTTTAAGAGTTTTCAAGTTATAGTTTGCCATAATGGAGTGCCCGTTGAGTACATCGCAAAAGAAATCTGACTCTTCGTCTTGCAACCAATCTCTTACAGAACTATGGCTGAAATAATATTTACTAGAATCGTCCTTTATTAAGTAGCCTGATAGAAGTTTGACGACTTTATTGAGATCATGCATCTTAATTTCGGGAAGCAAACCACACTTCACAACCCCTGTAACACTTTCATCGCTCTCCTGATAAGCCTGCTGTAGCTTCTGTAAGCGAATTATTCCATCTTCATCAAAAAGATAAGGATGGGAAGTTGCCAAATCTAACTCACATTCTATATCAATCTCTCTATCCATAAAAGCCTTAGCAGATTGAATGGCAAGCACAATCTGAAGCACAGGTGCAACTTTTTTCTCAAAGAATTCTATATCCGGAAAGTGACGTCTGAAGTCCAAACAGTAAATCTCAGATAACGAGGCAGGCAAACCAATTTCATCATGGCCATCAAAGATGTGTTCCATCACAAGTTTAGCATAAAGAAAGCAATTCTGACTAGCCTGAACTATTTTCTCTTTGCCTACCTGCTCGTCATTAGCAAAGAAAGAAGGAATACAATTATATTCTGTTTGAAGTTTTCTGTACTTCATGGAGACAAATTCACGAATATCTTTGCTAGACAGGGACTCGAGACTAGTTTCTAAGTGGTCTAGTTTAGCAGAGGTGGAATTTAAAAAAAGGCCCGATAGAGCGGGAGCATTGTGCCTTGCAGTCAAAATGACGCGAAGCCACGAAGGAAGTGTTCCTGATAATCTGGCAAAGCAAGAAGCAATCTTGGCACCTCCTTCATCTAAGCCGTCAATGACAAGAAAATGTCTGGTATTTTCATTCAATTGCTGTAATGGTGTGGTAATTAGCAAATCGAACAGTGCATTAGGATCATCACGAAATTTATCAGTCTGTAGTTTCTCGACCAAGGCAGCATATTCGGGAAGACTTTTCGAGAGCATACTACTGAGACTATCGACTAACGATTTCAAATCGCACGTGCGAGGATTATCTTTTTGACAGTAATGGTATCCAGCCAATTTTTCTCCCTGGTGCCGACGGATAAACTCTTGGGCGAACGAGCTTTTGCCTGTTCCAGCACCTCCCCAGATAAGGAAGGCACGAGACTCCCGAGGCTTGAGTTCTTTTTCCAACCAGTTTTCGATGTCACTGAACAACCACTCACGACCGACAAATTCTTCCTTCATCCGATCAGAGACTGGATTGAACTTTAGCTCTGACCTTCCGTCACAAATCCTTTGCTGTGGCTCTGACTTAGCCTTTTCTAGCTTTTCCAGCCGGCTGTTCGTAGACACTTTCCAGTCTTTGATTTCTTTCTTGACAATTTCCAGAGCGTCGTGTAGTTCGTTCTTTGTTACAAATTCACCCAAGCTTTTCCTTAGAACTTCAATCTGCTCCAAGGTCACCTCCACGTGATTCTTCCAAAAAGTCATATCACTTTTCAAAATGTTGATATCCTGACCAAGTTCACGCTGTAACTGAGCGATTACTTCCAATTCTTTTTCTTCAATAACCGCTAGACCAGTGTGGGATAAACTACTAAGCTCTTTCATAGCGTCTTGGACATCTTTGTCATGGTGCAGTTCTGGGTCTTGAAGAAGCGAGGTTAAAGATGCAAACGCGTCGACTTTGTCAGCATCACTTACATGCAACAACGGTGCATGCGCCCAAAGATTCCTAGCACATCTTGCCGCTGCTATTTTCGAAAGATCGACACCTGTGTTGAGCATACCATTTGTCCCTCTCGGAGACCATTCTAACACATTTAGCAGTCCCGATATATCAGTAGTTTTGGCGTTGACTACATCAACCTTTCTCGGTCCCAAGGGAGCCATGAAAATTTAAAAATCTCCCATGACGCACCAACGGTCAGCCATTGAGTGTTGTCACTGTTTCTCCAGGATATTTTTCTTTTATCACGTGATCGATGGGCATTCTCCAAGTGAGATTTCCACGTAGGTACATTATTTGACAAGGTTGCAAGCAGTGAAGTGTGGTACTTGTCAGCAGCATTTTGAATTATGGTTTCTAAGCCGTTCCGGGTAATCTGGATTGCTCGACCAACAGTAACCCAGTTTCTATATTCTGCATCACTTAGTCTACTGTGAGCCATCACTATTTATTTTTAGCCTTGAAAAAAAAATGCATTAGTATATTAACCTCCTCCGCAAGCATCTGGAACAACATTTCTAAAGTTTCTACAATATAGCATGCTGTGCGAGCCTAACTTTTCTACTGGGTAACCAATGAGCTGTATATAGTCAAGAAATAGTGTTCCAGTGGTAAAACAGACACAGTAATTACTTTCAGCCAAAAGCGGACTAAATTTTGAGATTTCACGTTGGTCACCATATTGAATTTAAACGCGCCGGAGTCTGGGATCTAACTTCACAAGACCTATTTTTTGGTCAAGTTATTACACTGACCTGTAAGGCCAAGTGTCTTAAATCTCCAATTCTCTGTTTTTCTGGGGGGTTTTCGTCGTGGAGAAATCGAGTTTGCGTTATCGCAGGCTCAGTTTCCACTGTTCCAGTTTACTATACAGATCAGTTTTCAAGATAGCGGCTATCAGTGAGTTTCAGTCTCAAACAAGTTCTTCATTTGTCAACGAATTTTACCGCATTTTTCTGTGGATTTTGTATTTATCCTACTCTGCACTTTCTTGGAAATTGACTTGGTGTTTTCTTTTCGTGCAATGTCTCTGGAAAAGCGATATCTGGCTTTCGAGACGGAGTAATATCGAATTTTATACGTTACAGACTTACGGGATGTAAACAATGTTGTCTGCGTTAGCGCATGCTCAAAAACTATGTGCATTTATGGATAACGTTTGTATTTGTGAGTAATACTTGTTTTTCATTGGGCATTACGAAAACATCTCCTGAGGATAACTTATGATAATTTTGCGTATCCCATCCACTCATCTATCGATCACGTCACGCTTTCACGCTTTGCGTTTGCGGTTCACGCTTTGCGTTTGTGGTTCACGCTTTGCGTTTGTGGTTCACGCTTTGCGTTTGTGGTTCACGCTTTGCGTTTGCGGTTCACGATTTGTATTTGTGTCTATTACACCATAGTTATTGAAATGGCTACCAATTTCTTGCTTTAAGTTTGCGTTGTTGGTAATGTCGCCAAATGTTAAGTGTTTGTGCAGGTTCAATTCCTGCCAGAGGGACCTATAGTTGCATTTTCACAACTGCTCCTGGTTAGGTTTAATAAATGTATAAAATTTACACTCATAATTTCCGTCTATAAATCTCTTCAACAATTAGTTGTATCAAGTGAGATGCTGAAAATCCTTATATTTACCCATACATCTTACATTGACATCACCCTAGTATTTATACATGAACTGGTGGTTAGAGCTCGACAACTGACCTCTGTAGCTCAGTTGGTTAGAGCTCGACAACTGTCTCTCTGTAGCTCAGTTGGTTAGAGCTCGACAACTGTCTCTCTGTAGCTCAGTTGGTTAGAGCTCGGCAACTGTCTCTCTGTGGCTCAGTTGGTTAGAGCTCGACAACTGTCTCTCTGTAGCTCAGTTGGTTAGAGCTCGACAACTGTCTCTCTGTAGCTCAGTTGGTTAGAGCTCGACAACTGTCTCTCTGTAGCTCAGTTGGTTAGAGCTCGACAGCTGTCGCTCTGTAGCTCAGTTGATTAGAGCTCGACAACTGTCTCTCTGTAGCTCAGTTGGTTAGAGCTCGACAACTGTCTCTGTAGCTCAGTTGGTTAGAGCTCGACAACAGTTGTAGCTCAGTTGGTTAGAGCTTGACAACTGTCTCTCTGTAGCTCAGTTGGTTAGAGTTCGACAACTGTCTCTCTGTAGCTCAGTTGGTTAGAGCTCGACAACTGTCTCTCTGTAGCTCAGTTGGTTAGAGCTCGACAACTATCTCTCTGTAGCTCAGTTGGTTAGAGCTCAACAACTGTCTCTCTGTAGCTCAGTTGGTTAGAGCTCGACAACTGTCTCTCTGTAGCTCAGCTGGTTAGAGCTCGACAACTGTCTCTCTGTAGCTCAGCTGGTTAGAGCTCGACCACTGTCTCTCTGTAGCTCAGCTGGTTAGAGCTCGACCACTGTCTCTCTGTAGCTCAGCTGGTTAGAGCTCGACCACTGTCTC